GCAAATTTGCCCAATGTAAGACATCATATTGGTTTTGACTGCTGTCTTGATTTTGGATCCAACTGAAGTTGGGGGCAGGGGGCGGTGAAGTCCTTAACAGCTTCAGTGCTTTCTCCATTCATCATGGGGTTGCTTATTGGTCCACTTGTGAAAATTTTTGTTTTATGTTGAGGTGTAGTCCACACTAATGACTGTAATCTTTTAGTTTCAGATGTTCATTTCAGTCAGCAAGTTTATACCATCTGCTTATCACAGGTTTAATGAGTCTTCCTTTAATCCTGATCCTGCATACTCCTTCATGCAGTCCAGCTTCACAAATTATTTGCTTAGAAACAGATGTAGTATGATGAAAAGAGAAAATCCTGAAGCATACCTTTCCTCATTTTAAACCAAACAGTATCCTTTGTTCAAACCACTGACTCTTGATCTATGTCCAGGTTCATCATGAGCACAATTAAGTGTCCTATAATTACTATTCTAGGGAGCTCTGGTGGCCTAGTGGCAAGAAGTTGTGCTGCAATTCCAAAGGCACGCAGTTCAAGGCTACCAGCTGCTCTGCGGGAGAAGGATGGGCAATCTCCTCCCATGCGATTACCTGCCTCTGAAAACCCACGGGAGGGTCAGCTATGAGTCAGTTCTGACTCGACAGTAAACCACAATTACTATTCTTCTCATTGTTATCCATAAATCATTATAATCCACACAGTTGAATGTCTTTACATATTCAACCTTGTTTCTGGCATGCTTTGCCTTTAGCTAGGGTTCATCTGATCAGGACTAGTTCCATATCCTCTTCTTGATATGGCTTAAATATCTAGAAGCTCTCTTGTTGCAGTGTACTGCAGTAACCATTTTTCACTATCTTCAGTACAGTGAAATATTTTTGCCATTTTGTCTTTTTTGGTGGTTCTTTTGATATTGCTTGGATTGTTCAGTATTTTGCCCATAGGATTCTCCAGTATTGCAACTGGACCCTTAAACTTTAAATTTATTTCTCTCAATTTGAAAAATACCAGTTGTGTCCTTCCTTTTTTGTCCTTAATGGGGGTTTTTTAAGTACAGATATTTGCACTTTTCATTATAATATTTTATTTCCTTTTTTCACCCTGCCCTTTGAGATCTTCTGTTTAGCTCTTTCACATCATTTCTTCTTTAACTTCAGCTATTCTACATTCAGTAGTAAATTTCAGAGTTGTAGTGCTAGAGAAGAGTCTTGGACATACCATAGACCACCAAGAAAACAAAAGTCTGTCTTGGAAGAGGGCGCAACCAAGTTTCTCCTTGGAGGCTAGGATTTTGAAGCTCTGTCTCATATACTTTGGGCACATGGCCAAGAGGGACCATTCCTTTGAGAAGAACATCATGCTTGGAAGGATGGAGGGACAGAACAGGAAATTAAGACCCCAGATGAAATGGAATGATACAGTAACGAGGGTTATGGGGGTAGATATGTTGGATTAAGTGAGACTGGCTTAGGATAGGGCAGGGTTCAGAGCTGTTGCCCATAAGGTTGCTATGAGTCGCAGGTGACTCAATGGCACACAACAACAACTTCTGGCATCTACTTTGGTTTTTCCATTCTTTCCTCTCTTTTTAAGGACATTTTGCTTTCTTTATGCATGATTTTTTTAAATATCATTTTTTTCATTAGTGATCAGTTTGCTAAATTTATTAGTCTCAATTCATGTGAGAAACACTCAGAGTCATGTTTTTACTTTCATGAACTTTGCTTCATTTTCATGAGCTTCAGAATGAACTTACAAAAGAGCAATTGGTGGTCTGTTCCATATTCGGGTCCAGTCCTGTTCTGACTGATAATTAAATTTCTTCACTGTCTCTTGCCACAAATACAGTCAATTTTATTTCTTTTTTTTTCATTTTTTTGTTTTGTTTTTATTAAATTTTATTAATTTTAATGAACATTTACAGAGATTTTGGGTTTCCATTCATTCATTGTTATACTATTTTCTCTGCCCTCCCACCCAGTTTGTTCCTCTTTTTTTCCTCCCTTGAAAGTCTGTTTTAATTGTCCCATTGCCACAGTGCTTGTCAAAGCCAGTTCTGATTAATTTCCTTTGTCAGTGTGTCCTTTGCCATTCCCGATCACTCCTCCCTTAGAGAGACTTCACCCTGATTTATAAGGAAAAGGGGATGGCGTATGCTCTTAGCTACTTCCTGCTGAAAAGGGATGCTGTAGGTTTCAGGGTGAAGATTTTCTCTCACTACTCTAAAGGGCCCCTTTGGCAGTAGGAAACACATAGACTATTGTGGAGATTGATTTTGGGTCAATTTGATTTCTGTGACTTCCATCTAGTGAAATCCACATGTATAATTCTTATGTTGTTGAAAGATGGTATTTGCTATAAATAAGTTGTTGATTTGGAAAAACTATCATGTGCTCAATCTGCTGCAACATTTCTATCACCAAGGCTGTAGTCTCTACAGATTCTCCTTGTTTATTTCCAGCCTTCACATTTCAGTTGCCAGTAACTGTCAGCTCCTCTTGATTGCATATTTTATAAAACTGTCAGATAAGTGGTGGTATTAATGAGTAGATAATGGAAAGTTAGTAATAACAAGAGATAATATAAGTGTCTTCACCTGTATTTTTGGAAGTGCACTTTATGCTATTTTGACTTTTTAGAAAAGTCTTATATTGGTACTTGTTTTCACTAACCAAGGAAAATCTAAAGAGGATGCTCACTTTTATGAAGAAAGGCAAAAAGTGCAACTAGCTTTCAGTATTTTGCAGCAAACTGTTAAAAGAGGCAGTGTACTCTCTTGACCAGCAAGTTCCTTCCTCAGGAATTAGAGTCAGCATCAAGCCACTGTAACTTAGGCCAGTGTTACAAAGTTCCCTAAGTCCTGCCAATTGTGATGAGCAAACACAATCATATTGCTGTTCTTTTAAGTTAACATTTATGTGTTATTTGATATGATTTAGTAGGTTTGGGAATGTTTGTGGTGTTTTTTTCCCCCCGTCCGGGAATTTGTAAAAAATTGCTCTATTTTAATTAATTATACAGTTGACTTTTAATATCTGTGGATTCAGCCAAGCAGGGATTGAAAATGATCATGAGAAAACTATCCTTCAAAAACTAACAGAGAGAGGCATGACCCAGTGACACCTAGTTCCTCCATGTCTTCCTTTGCAAAGTATTATCTCTGATAAATCTCATTTTTGCCTGGATAGGAGGGGGAAGCTAATAGAAAGTATAGTGATATTTGCATACTTTTCACATTGCATTAAGTATTATAAGTAATCTAGAGATTATTTTAAGTATATGGGAAGATGTGGACATATTTTGCCATTTTATGTAAGAGACTTGGACAGCAAAAGATCTCAATGTCCATGGAATCCTAGATGCAATCCCTTGAGTGGACTTCTAGAATTCCTTCTTTGCTTTAATGCCACTTCAGCCTATAAAAGTTTAATAGCGGTGTTTGACTTTTGAATAGTGGAGAAAATGTGTAGAAGCATAGAGAAGAGGAAAAGGAAGGCTGTGTACAGTTTATAAGACAGAGCAGGAAATGTGTAAATGTTAAGAGTGAAGGGGAAAAAAAAGAGTGAAGGGAAGCATAAGGGCATCTCATGTCGGATCTCTGCTACCTCCACAAAGGGGTATTGTCCCCATCAACAGCATCTATAACACGAAACTAATTCTCATGAAGTCAGATATGATCTTCCATGCTCCTACACCTACCTCTCTTCTACTTCAAACACTAATCGTATTGCCCTACTGGGTCTGTCTGTTGCAGTGGCCACACAGAACCATACCTATGGTAATGGGGTTGTTATAATTCATGTTGGCAACAGGATACAATTCCTTAGTCTACACAGCTTTTCAAGTGTGGCTACTGTCCCATTGACCTTCAGTCTCACAGCATAGGTCAGTGTTACAAACTTCCTTAGTCCTGCCAGTTATGTCACCTTCCCTCAGTCTCCAGTAAGCTTGGGAAAAGGTCCCTGACTCCATGGAGCAGCAGTCCCAAATCAACTCTGTCTCATGGTTTCTGGTTTACTGCTGAGGTAGCTGTTGATCCTGGTCTGACTGGCACAGGAGGGTGTGCACTGCATTCTCTGCGGCTGCTTCCTTGCTGGTAGTGAGCATATCATCTTTGCTGAGAAACTCGATTAGTTTAAATTGGTAGGATGGGGGAAATGTCCAAATCCCATAATGATTAGTTTTTACACATTCTGTTTTAAGTTCCCACCCAATTGTGATAAAAGACTAAAAGACTTGGAAAGCCGTTTTGAACAGTAAACTAATGACACCACAATAAAGTACATATCAGACTGAGAAATTAACTTCTCCTGCTTAGTTACATCAAATTCAAGTAGTTTTCTTTATCTGTGTTTAAGTTCCAACTTGCCATATGCTGCTTGCTGTAAATACTATTTTTTTCTAAGGGGTGATATTAGGATTTCTGTTCCTTTTTCTGGCAGAAATAAACCAACTGAAAAAGAAATCTCTTCTCCTTTTATATGCATTACTATCTCTACTACAGTAGTAAAGCATCTCTGCATTATATATCATGTAAATAAAATCTCCATGCCATTGAAAAATGAAAACATTTGAAGTTAAAATACAGCTATACATAGTTCTCTTATGAGTTCTATATTTTGCAGATAATGCATTTTCTACAAATTGAAAGTTCATAAAAAACTTGAGCAAGTCTTACAGTGCCATTTTTCCATCAGCATGTACTCATTTCATGTCTCTGTCATATTTTGGTAATTCTCAAAACAGTCCAGACTTTTTTGTGATGCTTTTGCACACTTGAAGGATTGTGCAAATATAATGAACATGCACTAGGAAACTGAAAAACTCATGTAACTTGCTTTATTGCTATATTTGCTTTATTGTGGTCTGGAAGCAAATCTACAATATCTCTGAGGTATGCTTGTATTGAACAGCTACGTTTATTCTCTTTAGAAATGAGGAAAAAAATTCTATCTTCCTTGAACAAATCTCTTTTTTCTTGTACTATCTTTGTAGTATGTGCCAACTGCTCTTTGCTGCCCCAGCCGAGCTAGTATTCTGACTGGGAAGTACCCACATAATCATCACGTTGTCAACAACACTTTAGAGGGAAACTGCAGTAGTAACTCTTGGCAGAAGATTCAGGAGCCAAATACTTTCCCTGCCATCCTTAGATCATTGTGTGGCTATCAAACCTTTTTTGCAGGGAAATACCTAAATGAGGTAAGTTGAATGGTCTATTTAATTTCTCTTTCTCTCTTTTTTAAAGAGTAGCTTTTAAAATATAAATCAATGAAATTCATTTACTCAGTTCTTAATCAGTATCAACTCATTATTTTGAAGAGTTTTGAGTATATGTTGTGTTTGCTAATCTGACTATTAAACAATAATACATTTAAATATTTTTTAATAATAGTTATTTGTCCTTTAAATAGTCTCAGGAGCATTTGCTTCAAAATTGTCCTAAAGGAATTCTGCTAGTCATGTGACTGACTTTCATCTTTCTTTTCATTTCGACTTGAAAAATCAAGAGGGTTGTTTTTAACTCTTATGACTTTTTCCCCTCAGATTTCTAGACTCTTTTCTAAATTATAATAACTTAGTCTTTTACATGTTTTCTTTTATGCAAAATGGCCTGTCAAGGGTTTTACTCAAGATGAAAGAATTACATTCTCAGATTTCATGGCCCCAAGTTCACCACACTGGCCTTAACTTAGTCAAAGTTCCAAGTTTAAAGAAATCGATTACGTAGGAGTGTTTGGACTCAGCACTTAAACTAAAATTGGGCAACACAACAGAAGGTGTACATCTCCTGATCCACCTTGTGGTTTCTAGATAACATCATGTCTGATCTGAGTTTTCAGTTCTCTCCTTCCCCCTAGTAATTTGGGGAATTCTGCAACTTTGTGAATTTATAGAAAGATAAGTTTGAAAAGAACTGTGAAAAGTAAGAACAGGTATGAATACTTGTTTATTATGTTCAGGTAGTAAAGAGATGTGCTACCTTGTATATTAGAGGTCACATAACATTTTTATGGATATTTTTATATAAATATATATATACACACACACACACACAAGGTTGATTGTTGTATTAAATCTGCACCATCAGTAGTTCAGTGGTTGGCCCATGAATAATTGAGCTGATGAGCTCTAGGGGATAAGCCACTTGGGCTTTTGCAGTTAAGGTCCAGAGAGTAAATATTTTCAATTTTGCAGGTTGTATAAATGTTGCACCTACTTATATCTGTCATTGCATTCTGAAAGCAGCCATGGATGTTATGGAAACAAATTAGTGTGGCTGTGTTCCAATAAAACTTTAAGTCACTAAATTTGAGTTTTTGCACCAGTGTACATAGCAGCGTTATTCACCATTGCAAGAACATGGAAACAATTCAAATGTCCAACCACAATTGAATGGATTGAGAAATTAAGGTACATCATACGATGGAATACTGCACAACCTGCAGGAACAATGATTTTGTAAATCATTAACTTGGGAGGAACTGGAGAGCATTATGTTAAGGGAACTAACTCAGTCCCATAAGAACAAATATTATATAAGACCATTATTGTAGAACGTGTGTGAGGTTCCAAGGTGGGGAGGGTGGAAGCAGAGGGGTGAGGATGAGCGGCTGTTGGAGGGAGGAGTGGGTAAATGAAATGGGAAAGATCTGATCAACAATGTGTACAAACTTTGTAAACCATATACAATAAAAATTTTATTTAAAAAATCTTAAGAATTTGAGTCTCATCAGGTTTTCACAAGTTATGAAATACTCTTCTTTTGATTCGTTTTTTACATTTCTTCTTAAATGGTTAAAAAAATTCTTAGCTTGGAGACTGTGCAGACAGGTCATGAGCACGCACTGGTTGTAGTCTGCTAACTTCTGTTTTAGAATTCTTCCCTAGAAGTTTAGAGTCCTTTACTTTTTGTGTAGTATATGTATTTAGAAAAATTGAGCACCTCCTGTGTTTTAAGCACAGATCTAAAAGTACTCTGAAAGCTTCCTGTTTATTTATTTCCTGGTCTGGTCATTTGTAGGGGCTTCTGTATTATATACTGCTTGTCTTGCCTTTCAGTATGGAGCCCCTGGTGCAGGTGGACTAGAACACGTTCCTCTGGGCTGGAGTTATTGGTATGCCTTGGTGAGTGATTATTGCCATTAATAATTTAATGCAGCTCTACAGGTCAACAGCTGTTTACTATATAATTTAGCTGTAATACCGACACACTTGGTTTGCATTTTACAATAGGCATTTTAGAGTTTATCTCTTTAGGAAAAAACTCTGCTAAATTGTACATCACTCCTTTTTGGAATGTATCCTGATTCACTTCTGGCTTTTAATATGTATGGAAAGTGTACTAGGAGTTAATAAAACCATAATTATAAATTCAGTTCAGTACTGACTTGGATAGGATAATTACCTCTCTCTCTCTCTCTCTCTCTCTCTCTCTCTATATATATATATATGTGTGTGTGTGTGTGTATATATATATATATATATATATATATATATATATATCGCAATCGCATATAATATCACTCTCTCTCAATATATATATAGATAGATATATATCTCACATATATATATCACTGTTTAAACAGTCAACAGTTGAGACCAACCTGGATTGTGACTTTTGTCTCGTGTACTAACCTCATAATAAATTTTACGTTGTTTTCTCAACTAGGAAAAGAATTCTAAATACTACAATTATACTCTGTCTATCAATGGGAAGGCACGAAAGCATGGTGAAAACTACAGTGTGGACTACCTGACTGATGTCCTGGTGAGTTACTGGAGCCAGATCTTGCTCACATTTGACCAGAGACTGCCTAGAAAACCTTCAGTCTTAATCTAGTCAATGTTGGGTAATGTAAATAAAAAATAGTGTAGTCTAACTGCCAAAGAAAAATTCTTGATTGAAAACTCATGACCATGTTTTCCTTTGTATATAAAGCCAGGCTCAGACATAATGTTCATTTGTGACATTCCAACAATAAATCCCTTTTACAAAGGCTAAAACTATAGAGATTATTTTATAGAGGTTTGGTAGAAGGTACTGTCTTCTTTTTGGGTACTGTAGAATCAGAACAGACTCAGAGCTGACTCTCCAGTGGGTCTCTATCCAGAGACAGTAAATTACATGGGAGGAGATTGCCCATCTTTGTTCCTCAGAGCAGCTGGTGGATTCAAACGGCTTGCCTTTGAGTTGGCTGCACACCCCCTTATCATTAAGCTCCCTATGATATTGTTTAGGAAATAATTATTTGTGTTAACACAGACACACTCACACTCTCTCTTGTCAAATAGTGATCAGCTAGAGGAATAAAGCAGAATATGGAATTACTTAGATAATATTTAATCAGAAACCTGACTAGATAAGAATGAACAATACAAATTAGGGGAAAGAATGATCCAGGTAGAGGGTACAAGATGTGTGAGGGCCTGGTGGCAGCAGTAACCAAAAATAGTGAAATAGGAAAGTGAGTGGTAGGAAATGGATTCAGTCTGTATCTTTTGAATTTAATATATTATGTAAACTAAAATAATTAAGAATATAGTATGAACGTGGAACACTTTCCTTTTTAGAACTTCTCTAGCTAAGCAAATGAAAATGTTAAGTTAATAATAAATGGAAGCTCTAGTGTAAAGAATTCAGATTTAATGTATTTTCTTTAGCTTAACTACTACAACTAAGATAATTTATAAACATTTATTCTTTACCTGTTCTCATCAGGATAAAACAGTTTACTTTTCCCACTGTTCTGAATTAAGCTGATTTTCTTTTTACATTATGTAAGGCACTAAATGTATACAACTTAAGTTGCATTAGTGGAAGTTAATAGGAAAATTATTTTCATGCCTTTGTTTTTGGGAAGCAAGACAGTTTCCGGTTTGTATAAAATCACTATTACGTCAGTTTATTTCTTATGATTTTGATGTCTGTCTGCATCAGGCTAATGTGTCCCTGGACTTCCTGGACTACAAGTCTAACTTCGAGCCGTTCTTCATGATGATTTCCACTCCAGCACCTCATTCACCTTGGATAGCGGCACCTCAGTACCAAAAGAGCTTCCAGAACGTCTTCGCGCCCAGAGACAAAAACTTCAACATCCATGGCATGGTAGTTTCCTCTAATTCTTGAATCAAGCCAGACCAATGTAACCATTCATGTAATGTACTTGTCATGAAGCCTTTATAAGCCATGTAGTTGGTGTTTCTTCAGGATCTTTTGTAGGTAATTGCATCTGTCCTTAATATTATAGATGTCTCAGCTTCCTTCCTTAAAGTACAGATAACAGTCTGACCACACATCTCATGTGCAGCTTGACAGTCCACAGGGAATGTTAAGGAAATGCCATCTTCCCTTCTTCCAAGAGTGTCAGTTAGTCTTCTGATAGCTCTATGCTGGCTCTCATCCCTCCTAGCAGGACAGCAGATTTGCATCCCTGGGGCTGAGCTGGGCCTGTAGCAGCCTCAGGGTAACCCTTACCAGGTCTGTGGCACAGGAAGAGGGGAGATGACACAGTGCCATATTTTTGGGAAGGGAGATTGAATAGAGAAATAAGCCAGAATAAAGGATGTGATTAAATGCCAAAACCCTGCTGCCATCAGGTTGACACCTCCCAGTGTCTCTGCATCTGGTTTCCAAGAGAGCAAATCTTTACAGGAGGAGGCTACCCATCTTTCTCCTGGATTAAGTGCCAGAACAACCTAACTATTTGCCTCCAATACCAATTACTTTGGCACATGTTGTAGACTTTTCATGGATTCGAAGGCCTGTGCTCCTCCTGTCTTTTACTTGACTTTCATAATTTGCTTATGTCATTGTAGAAAGGGTAAGTGCTTGGGAGTCAGACCTTTGCTGCCACTGGCTGGATAAGGACTATGAATGAATACTCAACTTCCAGTTTTCCATTTAAAGTGGGAGATATTGATCCCTCATGAAACTCTTAAGTGCATTAAGATCCCTGGAAGCAGGTAATTTGCTTCCTGATACATCGTAGGTATGTGCTTCCTAAGTGCAATTCTAAAGCTAAGTGAGTTGGGTTTTGTCGATTAGAGGCCATTCTTGAACTCCATTTTGAAAGAAGTGAATAGAAATTCCCATGGCTAACTAAGTTGGGAAATTTTGGATTGGGAAATGAGTCTTTATGGGACTTCTTGGGGATTGTTAATGTTGTAATGTAAATTTCTAACATGCATATACAATATAACATTTATCAAGCTTATGAAAATAATACTTGGAGGAACCCATTTAGAAAATGCTGATTGAACTTTTGTACATAGGAAAGCTTTAATAGCATGTGGTAATGTTCCATTTGGTTTTGGTTTTTCACTGGGAAGGACCCTCCAGTTTTAGACTTAAAATGTTAGAAAATTCCTCTGATAGAACTTTTCCCAGGGGTCTAATATAGTAGCTATCTTGGATAGGAAAATAATGGGTAGGTAGAATAATAACTTGTTAGACAAAATTTAGAGACAAGTTATTTTTACCCATTTGTCACTGTTGTAGGCCCAAAGTATAAATCTGATCTCATTTTAACCAGTAGTTTTCCAATTTCATTTACTTTAAACTCTTCTTGAAATTTTTTCTGCTAACAAAAGATCCAAGCGCTTTTTTACAGTTTGGTTAGCTACAGTAAGAAGCTGCATGAATAATATTGTAGAGGTAACCTGCAGAAAATCCTTTAGGAGCTCTGGAGAGGGTAGGGCAGGGCAGGGAAGGAATGGTCTGAGGATGCTGAAACAAATTCCAACTCGTTTTTTTTTGATGAAGTCTATAAGTCCTTTTCATCATCTACTCTGGTGGTTTATTTGACTGGTGATCTAATGTTAACATATTTCTTTTTCTTTTAAATTTTAGAACAAGCACTGGTTAATTAGGCAAGCCAAGACCCCAATGAGTAATTCTTCAATACAATTTTTAGATAATGCATTTAGGGCAAGGTAAGAGCTACTACTTTCTCAATCTGTATGGTCTTTGAGGGTCTTCCACATAAATTCATGAACAAGGCACTGGGCCACATGGTTATTGTCAAGAAAAAAGTCAGAGGAACAGAAGTTGCAAGAGAGATACAGTAATTAAGATCTACTGTCTGAAGAAGGCGGTGATTCCTTTGCATTCAGATGTATGTGATGACCTTTGGATCCCACAACTAGTGAAGTCTGTTTTGATGACCTACTAGAGAGTTGCTCTGGTAGTGATGTCTGTAGGGAGTTGTACTGCTAACCTAAAGGCAGTGTGTCCCTCGTGGTTTGAATCTGCCCGCAGTTCCTTGGGAGGTAGATGAACAGTCTCCTCCTGTGTGATTTACAGCCTTGGAAAACCTGCTGGAAAGTCAGCTCTGAGTTGGTTCTGACTTGACGGCATTGAGTCAAATGAATATTAACAAACTTGAGCCATTTGTTAGAAATGTTTGTTTCTGTGCCTAATAAAAAAGACTGCTTGGTGAAAGATCAACCTAAGTATTTGACAAAACACCCAATGATTTAAATTAGAGCAAACTATTTGCCTTTGCTATTTAGAATTTTCAAGAAATTCTTTTATTTCTTGAAGTTTAAAAAAGAGAGGTCTGATGCCTTAGTAGTAAGGAATTGTGCTACCAATGCAGAGGTACACAGTTCAGATCCACCAGTTGCTCCTGTCTCCTACTGTGAGATTTACTGCCTGTAAAATCCCACTGGGGGTCAACTGTGATTTGCTCCTGACTCAACAACACACAACAACAAGAAAGATCACTTGGTAAAGATCAACCAAAATATTTGACAAGAGACCAATTGACTTAAATTAGAGCAAAACATTTGCCTTTGCTGTTTAGAACTTTCAAGAGATTCTTTTATGTCTGTTTTTTAAAACCATTATTTTTTCCTCTTGGTTGTATTATATTAGAGGCCAGAGAATTTTATCTGCCAAAGGTCAGATAATAAATATTTCATGCCTGTAAGTCATAACCTCTTGTCATGGTTACTCAACTCTGTTGTTGCAGCACCGAAGCAGCCCTAACAATGAACAAACATGGCTATGCTCCAATAAAACTTTATATACACAGATGATGGACCATCTTTGATCCATGGGCTGCAGTTGTCAAACCTCTGGTTTAAGCTTTTAAATACCAGTGTAGTACAGTTACATACATCTGTAGAAATTAAGAGAGAATTGACAACTTCCAGTTATGACTATCATCACCAGTAGGCAGATATAAAGCAGAACCACAAAAGCCCTCAAATTCATTGCTGTTGATTTGTTAGGACTCGTAGCTGACTGACCATTTGGTTTCTGAGGCTGTGAATCACACAGGAAGAGACTGCCCATCTTTCTCCTGCAGAGCCATGGGTGGATTTGAACTGCTGGAGAGACACAACCTTTACGTTAGCAACACAACTCCCAAGGAGCCACCAGAGCTCCCTAAACAAAGGTAGCTAGTAGTGAACATCCTAGATTATTTCTTGGGATATAATAATGAATTCTTTAATTTCCTAGTCTGGTATTTTTCCAGTGAAGCATCCAGTTGGAGGACCGTTGGGATTTGAGATTTGGCATGGAGAGTGGGTTTTGTAGCGTTCGATTTTGCTGGTTTTTTTGTTGTTTTTTTTTACATTTTCTTTCCCAGAAGTGATACCCCATGCATTGCCTTTTAAATCACCACTGCCACTTTCTTTTGTGTTCAGGTGGCAGACTCTACTCTCGGTTGATGACCTTGTAGAGAAACTGATAAAGAGATTGGAATTCAATGGGGAGCTCAATAACACTTACATCTTTTATACGTCAGACAATGGCTACCACACAGGTAAGAGGCACGGTTTCTGTGGTCTTTGTGAGTATCTTTCCTTTTCACCCAACCAGCATCACTGGCAGAGTTTCAGTCCTTGACCGAAATGGGCAAGCCAGAGCTTATCAAGCTTGACCTCAGGCTTCTGTCATTAGAGGGTTAAGTATTCCCACTTGGAGTGTTCAGCTTTTGTTATTAGCGTGTTAAATGCTAAATTACATGGTGCTGTAGCAGTCAGGGGGAGTCCTCATTATGGGATGGAGTCAGGCAGACTTTATGGAAGAGGTAAGGAACTGAACTTGGTTTGATGCATTCTAGACAGGAATACCAAGAGAAGTTTGCTTGAAGAAAAACAAAATTGTGACATTTTGTCTTGTAGATGCTTTTTTATTTTATCCTTAAAATTGTAACATGAGCCAGACCTTCACCCTTACTTTTCAGCTTTTCTACTTGGACGTTCTGTAGTTAAATGAGTTTTCTCCTTGTCTTTAAATTTGGGTGGTAGTAATGTGGAATTTGCCTGTATAGGATGGATTGATTAGGCACTTACAGTATTATTTTAAGCATTTTTAAACAAAAACTAATAAAGTAATCCCTTTTGCCTAGTTTTAATTTTGTACGACATGTGGCCAGTTTAAAAAATTCTTACTTTCCCTCTTTTTCTTTTTTTCTGCTAGAGAATTTGAAGCAAATCCCAGAAATGTTGTGATTCCAATTGTATATCTGCTTGGTAAAGGTTGTTTTTACTCTGCCGTGCCAGTATCACCCCTCAGAAAATTCATTCTTGATATCATCTTAAACCCTAACTAGAGGGAGCTCTGGTGGCCTAATGTTAAGAAGCTGTGCTCCAATCCCAAAGGCACATGGTTCAAATCCACCAGATTGTCCATTAGAGGAGGGGCAATCTCCTCCTGTGCCAGCTGGCTCTAATTTGACAGTACACAACAAGAATATAAAATAAAATAAAAAACCAAAACCTCTGATTATATTTCCTAGATTTTCCCCCAAAGCAGTACTCTACAGAGTACTGAAGAGCAATGATGTCAGTCTTGAGACTAAGGTGTGCCTGATTCAGGCCAAAATCTTCGCAATTACTTGCTATGCATCAGAAAGGTGGGTAATGACTAGGGACAAAAGAAGGAGAATTGATGGCTTTGAGCTGTGGTCGTGGTGAAGAGTATTGAATATATCATGGACTGCTAGGAGAACAAACAAGTTTGTCCTGGAGAGGGTGAAGCCAAGCTGCTCCTTGGAGGCAAGGATTCTGAAGCTTCGTCTGACATACTTTGGACATGTGGCAAGGAGGGACCAGTCCTTGGGGAAAGACGTCATGCTTGGGAAGGTGGAAGGACAATGCAGGAGAGGAAGACCCTTGGTCAGAGACAATAAGATTGGCACAGGATAGACCAGGGTTTAGGGCTGTTGTACATAGGGTCTCTATGAGTCACAGGCGAGTTGACGGCACATAACAGCAACAAGCAGTTTATTCTTTATCAGCATGCAGACAAAATCTGCATTTGGTTGTTATATCTCTTTAAGTGTTTCACTTTGCCCATGATTTACTGGGAAAAGTCAGTCTTTAGACTGTCTGACATTCTAGACATGCCTCAGTGTCTTACTTATCGATACTGAGGTTTTCCTGTATGTTGCTCGTTAGATCTAGAAACTTGATGGAAACTCGTTTTCAGAAAATAATGCTTCATAGTTGGTAGTGTTGTGTACTGTCACATCACCAGGGCCATGGAGTCCACTACCCCACTTTTTGGGACACTTGCCTTGACTTTTGGCTTAAGTCTAAGGTTAAAGCTTCTGTTGATGTTGCCTAAATCCATTATTCTTCCAAAAGTTGAAAAATTCTGACTTTGTAATTCTTTACTTCCTTTTGCATTTTTTTAGCTGTAATTCCACAGAGAAACTACCATCATCAACTCTTTAGCTATCTTGAAATTAAATTCATTCAGGAAAGGCAGAATAAATGCTTACTTCCCTTAGTCCCAGTGTTTGGAGTAACCTCATTCAGTTGTGATTAAGTTTGAGTACCATTATAAGCATAGATTTTCATGTGTTTGTATTTTATTATGTCCTAGCCATTCTCTTTGCTCAGTTTCTGCTGTGTAAAACTAAAGAAATGTCTTCTAGGCAAACTTAAACTTTATATTGTGTTCTTGTGTACTGGAGTGTCAGAACCGACCTATATAGCTGATCCTCCAGCAGGTTTTTAGAGACCGTTAATCACATGGGAGGAAACTGCCCATTCTTCTCCCATGGAGCAGCTGGTGGCCACGGACCATGTGCCTTCGGGATTGCAGCGTGACTTCTTGCCACTAGCTGCCACAGTTTAATAATTAGTAAAACAAAGTTGTTCCAGGTCTTGCTATTGGTTGAATGTGAGCAACATCTTCATCTTGACTCCATCTTTATCCTGTTGGTTTTGTTTTCAGGACAGTTTTCTTTGCCAATAGACAAAAGGCAGTTGTATGAATTCGACATCAAAGTTCCACTGTTGGTTCGAGGACCTGGGATCAAGCCAAATCAGACAAGCAAGGTATGTGTCTGACAAAGTGATGAAGTAGGCATTTAGCAAGAAACCAAGGCTCTTCCTCCTAAGAATAAACTAGTTAAGTTTTCCCACCTCTGATGGAGAAGGTTGGTCAGTGTAGGGTCTTATAAATGTATTTACCAGTCTTGGAAACAGTGCTTTCATTTCTTTAAAAACGCTTCGATTCCCACCTCCACCACAGTCATCAATTCAGTACTCTTTCAGGTGTCTGAGGCAGTAAGTCTTTTAAGGGAGGATACTGTCCATCCTCCTCAGAGTGTTTGATAGATTGAAACCACCACACTGTTGTGGTAACAGACAAATGAGAATAAATTTGAGGGCTTGCCTTCCATGCACCATGGCTCTTGATGCCTTGCCTTTGTACAACTCCTCGCTCTGCCTGGAAGGCTCATCTCCTCCCCTTTGCACAAATCTAACTGGACTGTGCTTTAGGGCTTTGGTTTAAGACCACTTTGTAGGACGTCGCTCTAAACCACATCCTTACTTGATATACGTACTCTTTGTGCATGTTTCCAGCTGCCCTCACGTAATCACACCGTGTTACATCTGCGTGTCTTACCCTGGGGATTCCTGGAGGGGATGAGGTAGATGAACAGACTGTCTAGTCCTTGACATGCTTTGGGTAGCATACACGTTGGTTGCAAACTAAGACTGAAAAATTAACTGTGCCCACTCTCAAAATCCATGCTTCCCTCCAGTCTTGTGCTGACTGATATTGTTTGGAAAGTATGAAATTTAACAGCTTTTATTTACTGAAAAGAATGTCAGAGACGGTGGGTTATTTATCATGTGTTGGCGGCATTTGCCTCGGTGCCGGGTCTGGGGAGTATGGCATAGTGAGCTGTCAACAGCCTACCAGCCAGAACGGTGAATATGACTAATCCATGGATTTAGCAGTTTGTTGGCTGTTTGGGAGGGCAGGATAGAGAGTGTGTGTGGCTGTGGATAGGTTGTTGAAGCGGTCTTTTCCTCTACATAGAAATTAACCTACCTTTAGATTTGGTAATAGAAATTTTTCAAGAGAGTTTGTGAAAAGTAAAATGTCTGTAGGAAAGTTAGAATTCACATGGTCCAAGAGAAAGGAATGGAACTGGGAGTCTGGAGCACAGTCTTTTGGCTTTAGGACATTGGACAGAGTACTTGACCCTCAACAACTTAATTTCTCCAGTTGGGAAATCCAGGGTGCCACTTAACTGAGACCACAGTTGAGTTTTCAAGAGATCTTCTACTTTTGTCATACCAGTTGCTTCAAGATGAGAAGGACCATAGTAAGATCTGTGAGTTTTCTTAGTATGGACGCATTACCACATTTCATTTTCTATGAAGTAAATTCCTTGTGGAATCTCACAGCAATGCTGTATGGGATGCCATGATAATGGATAAAGCATCCTGCGAGTCTGCACATAGTAATATGGCAGAAGCATTTACATGCAGGAAAGGCTTTGGCTTCTTCTTTGTTCTAAAATCTGAGGGACAACCGAAGGAAGCCAGGATGTGGGCAGTTTTCTACCTTTTGACTTAGGCATTTACAGTGCTTTTCTTTGAATGAACTTAGGATGTTTGCTGGCCTGCTTTGAGTCTTTTCTTTGAAAGCTCCACATGAGTTCCTTAACAGCAGGGCTTAAGTATCTGGACATGATGTGTTTCTCTTGAGAACACATTGCAGCCCTGTTTGGTAAATGTACAGGACCATCATTCCTCCAGAGCTAAAAATAAGTATTCAGTGCATGGAATTTCTGTTCCACTGTTTTCTAGGACATTTTATTTGATCAGAATGTTTATATACATGAATCCTAAGAACATTTTTTAACTGTGAAACTATGATTTATATTTTTTATTTTTCCCCAAAGTTTTTTCTGTTACAAACTATAAATTAATCTGCCTAAAAATGCTAAATTTTGAGATATCCTTAAAAGAATTCATTCCACTTCATAGTTGTATAAAAGTCTGTTGTTTTTAGGTGCTTTCAAGTTGAGTATGACTCATAGTGACCCTGTAAACAGTAGACTTGAACCCTCTCCTAACTTGGATCATCCTCATCCTCTGACACTCTTGACCCAGTTGCTATAGTCACTATCAGTCCACCTCATTGAGGGTCTTCCTCTGTTTTGCTGATCCCTCCACCTTACCACGCATGATGTCCCTTCTAAGAAGTAACATGTTCAAAGTATATGAAATGAAGCTTGGTCATGCCTGTAAGGAGCATTCTGGCTATCCTTTCTCCAAGACAAATATGTTTATTCTTTTGACAGTCTATTCAGGCACAGTCTCCTCAGTACTGACATTACTTCTCAGTAATTTGAGAGGTCCCTCACAGTGGACTCTCCCAGTGCAATACGTCTCCTGATCTCCTGACTGCTGGTACCATGGTGTTTATTGTGGATCAAGAAAGATCATTGGCAATTTTATTCTTCTTCATCTATTATTATGTTACTTATCAGTCCAAGGGGTGAGGACTTTTGTCTTCTTGATGTTGAAATGTACTTTATATTGAGGGATGTAGTCTTTGATCTTCTGCAGCAAGCATTTCAAGTCCTCCTCACTTTCAGCAAGCAAGATTGTGTCATCTGCACAACATAAGTTGTTGATGAGTCTTCCTCTGATACTGATGCCACATTCTTCTTCATAAAGTTCAGTTTTTCAGTTGATCAACATACAGATTGAATATGTATCGAGAAAGACTACAGTCCTGATACACACCTTTCCTGATTTTAAACCATGCAGTGTTCCTTTGCTGTAGTCAGGTGACAGTTTCTTGGTCTACGTATAGGTTTTGTACGAACATAATTAAATGTTCTGGGATGCCCATTCTTCTCAATGGTAGCTATAGTTTGTTATGATCCACACAGTCAGATGCTTTTGCATCATCAATAAATCACAAATAGACATTCTTCTGGTATTCTGTGCTTTCAGTCTGAACCCATCTCACATCAGCAGTGAACTCTCTGGTCCCACCGCTTCTTCTAAATCCAGCTTGAACTTCTGGCAGTTCTCTATGTATTGTTCTGGTTTTCTTTTAATCTTCAGCAATGTTTTTGCTTGCATGTGACTTTAATGATATAGTTCAATGGTTTACACATTATTGGATTGCCCTTCTTGGAAATGGGAACAGATACAAATCTCTTCCAGCATGTCAGCCAAGCAACTGTCCTCCAAATTTCTAGCATAGACTGATGAGCTTTTCTAGGGCTACATCTGTTAGTTGAAACATGTCAGTTGGTATTCATTGATTCTTGGGGGCCTTATTTTTTGCCAGGACCTTTAGTGCAACTTAAACTTCTTCCTTCACTATAATTGGCTCTTGTTCATATGGTAGATCCTGAAATATTTTAATGTCAATGAATTTTTTTTGATACATGATTGTAATTCCTTCCATTTTGTGATGCTTCCTGGATCATTCACAATTTGGCCTGGAGTATCTCTCAGTATTATAACTCAAGGCTTGAATTTGTTTTTCAGTTCTTACAAAGCTATAAATGCTGAGCAAGTTCCTTTCCCCCCCCTCTAATTCCAGCTCCTCATACATTCCATTAGAATACTTTGTCTTCTCGAGCTGCCCTTTGAAGTCTTGTGTCTGGCTTTTTTACTTTGCCATTTGGTTCCTTTGTTTTGACTTCTCAACACTCTAGTGCAATTTTCAGTCTCTTCTCACATCCATGTTGACCTTTTCTTCCTCTTCTGTCTTTGTAATGATCTTTTGCTTTCATCCCATAACTCATCTGATCTTTGATCATTAGGGTTCAATGCCTCAAACCTATTCTGAAGATGATTTTTAAATCCAAGTGGGACTCTGTGGAAAGAATCATTGGGGAAGTTCCGTATCAGCTATTAAAACCAGTCCAGGTGCTGATTGAAGAACATACCATCAGTTACTCACGTGCAAGTTCAAATTGAAGCTGAAGAAAATGAAAACGAGTCCACAAGAACCAAAATAGGATCTTGAGTCTATCCCACCTGAATTTAAAAATTAAAATTTTTTTAAAATTCTGAAATAGTTGTAATTCTGTCTTGAGCTCTTCACCTATGCTAGTATCTACCAAAATTCTCACATTTCCTGAACTGTATGCTAATCTTAAAGTTGCCTACTTAATCAAAATAAAACTTTAGAAGCAATGAAAACATACCCACTGTTTTTTAGGGAAGATTCTATGAGTGAGGATAGATGAGAAAAATAAGAATCCCAGGTGTGTGTTTGATATCTTCGTGGCTATAGTTTTTTTACTGGAACTTACAGATCTTTCTCTCCATAAAGTAAAATATTATTAGAAAGCAGCTCTCACCTTATACCCAGTGACTATTGAGGCAGTTAATGGTGAGATTAGCACTCACTGATTGTTGGGTTTTTATCTTGGAAGGTTTTGTTATTATAATACTCCCCATTCATACTGCCTTAGAGTCCCTGAGTGGTGCAAATGGAGAGCACCTGACTTTTAGCCAAAGAGTAGCAATTAGAACCCACCCCAGAGGCACCTGACTGACGTCATGCTCCTTTCACAATTGGCAAGTTTTGCAAGTCTTTGAAGGTCAAGTTCTTTGTCCAGAGTCCTAAAGCCAGTAGGTTGCTGCCCTGACTCCCAGTTCCATTTATTTCTCCTAGACCATGTGAGTTCTAGGAGTCCCTGAGTGGTACAAAGGTGGAGCACTTAAAGCCAAAAGATTAGCAGTTAGAATCCACTCCAGAAGGGCACCTCAGAAGGCCGGACTGGTGATCAGCTTCCCAAAGGTCACAGCTCTGAAAACCCTGGGGAGCGCTTCTGCTCTGCATGTGGGGGGTCACTAGGAGTCAGAATCGGCACAGTGGTAACTGCGTTGGCAGTGCCTTGGGCATGTCGGTAGTGCTTGCGCCTCTTGGCCAAGTGGCTGGTATTGTGTGCATCACTGCAGCTCCGTCAGTTGTGGTCACTTCAGAGCCTGTGAACAGGATCTGTTCTGGAGGTCGCATCAGCTTCCCTCACCTTTCCTGCTTTGATCTTTTTTCATGTCCTTCCCCACTCGGGATGACCATATATTCCAAGCTGCTCAGTTTGCCTGGGGGCCTTGCAACGAAGAAGGGATATCTGTAACACTGGGGCTTGTATGATCCCTGGAGACATAGTTGTTGAGGTTTTTTCTTTTTCTCAGTAACATACGGATTGCCTTTCGCCTGCATTATGTGCTGCTGAACAGCTGCAGAGTTGCACTAATTGGTTCAGTTGCTCTAATTGGAGTGTGTGTCACTGCTACCTCCTGAAACCATCCTGGCTGTCAGGAACCTGATCTCTGATGAGCAGGACTCTGAAGAGGTTTCATTACCTTTCAAATCTGTACTTGTGGTTTTGTTGAAAATAAAAGTGAAATGGATAATAGAGTTTCCAGGATGGCCTAACTTCTTCACTCTTGACGGTTTCCTTTGAGCAGTTGATAACCTTTTCAGCATCCTTTGTCCACTTGCTTCCACTTCTCATTTCGTCGTAAAATGGGAGAAACACTGCATTCTCCCATTGTGGTAGAGTACACACACATACACACACGCGCATGCACGTGAGACACCTGTCACAGTTTGCTCAGTCAGCTTTTATTCGCACCCTTTTTTCCCTTCTGTTTAGCTTCTCTGGTGGGTTGCCTTTGCCATTCAAGTTCTCTCTAGCCTATTGTCAAGGGATTTGTAAGCTTGGGGCTTAGGGTCTGGCTGGGCCTGAGTTGTCCAGTAGCCACCAGCCACATATGCTGGTTGTCTCATTACAGTATGACAAGTTCAAACCAAAGCATGCTATTATTGTAAAAGAACATATTTCAAAGACTTAGATAAAGTACATGAAAATCTACTGATTTTTTAATATTGTTAACATAATGTGTAATGTTTGGGGGTTTTTATTTGTCAGATTAAATACATCAAAATTTCACTTGGAACTTTTTACTTTATTGTGTTTACTATATTTTTTCCAATTGCCTGTGTGACTCCTGTTGTAAGTCCCTTCTATTGGGCTTAGGCTCTGGTAGACACATTGTATCAAACTCAGGATCCTCAAGCCCATTACTATGTATCTTGTAGCTGACCATCTACTGGCTTTTCCACAAGTGAGGAGATTGCCCTTATTTTACCTGCAGAGCCACTGCTGGTGGACTTGAACCACCAGACAGGTACCACCTTTGGGTTAGCAGCACAACTCTCTACAGACTACGCCACCAGATTCCCTAGGTAGACTGTTCACAGAAGGAAAATAGCTAAATAGACCAAAGAAAGAACCAGAACATCTAGGAAACTAGAGGGGATGTTTCTGCTCTCTCCTCCAGGGCTCCCATGAGTTGAAATCAGCTCAGTGACAATTTCCTAGACACTTTGTATAAAATAAGTGGATGGATATTTTTCCTCATTATTTATAAGTACACTTAAGGTGGTTTCCAAGAGTTGTTAAAATTTTTTCATGAGTACCAATGTGGTTGAAATAAATATCTGTATGTTAAGGTACTTCCTGGTGAGACTCACTTTCTCCCTGAGCTTTGTTACTGTGGTTAGATAGGAAGGGAAAGCCAGAAGTAAGTACCTGTGTTCTAGATTTTTCTTTTTCTCATTCTCGTAGATGCTTGTTGCCAACATTGACTTGGGTCCTACTATTCTGGACATCGCTGGCTATGATCTGAATAAGACCCAAATGGATGGGATGTCTCTCTTGCCCATTTTGGTGAGTATAATACTGAAATAAATAAAACCATTAAACTTGAGGAGAAGGAATATTTTTCCATGATGGGGTTTCCTGAAAGGATTGATGAACCGCATGCATTCATACAAAGAGAGTTCTGTATCATCCTCCTTTTTACCAGAAAACCTATCATAAACAAAGTGAAGTGACAAATTCAAGAAATACTTACAGCATATGTGGAAAAGGGCAGTTAACCCTAATATATGAGTTCTTAAAAATCTAAGATTGATGTCATAAGAGGAAAATGGTCAAAAGGTGGGGGTTGTTACTGTTATTGGATGTCTTTAAGCTGCTATCCTAACAACCCTGTGTACAGTAGAACTAATTATCACTCTCACAATCATTGCTGGGTTTGAACCTGTTGTTGCAGCCACTATGTCAAAGCTAGCTACTTAGAGGTCTCTCTCACTGACCTTCAGCTTCACCAGGCAGGTCCTCCTCCAGGAACAGTCCCTCTTGATAATACCTTCAGAGTATTTGAGACAGATTGACCATGTTCCCTGCTGTAGTGTATTTTGTTTGTCTTCCAAGGCAGATCTGATTAATCAAATGAAAGAAGAATTAAAAATGGCCAGAAGTGAAGGTAAAAGTTTATATTTCAGTGGTGATAAAGGAAACATTTAATTGAAGGAGGCTTTGTCACCTGCTGAGAACTATTCCAAATAAACATTACAGTCAAATTTTCAGAAAACCTGAAAAATCAAGTTGGACCTCTGCCTGGAATTGCACTGAACCTATAGGTCAGTTAGAAGAAAGCTCGTTCTCTTTCAACATTCTTGAGTTCTTAAAGCTGTGCTACTACTAACTCCCTTCATTTTTTTACTTGCCTGTTTAAAACCCTCTGTGACTTCTCATTACCTGCTCTTGTTCCTAGATATGTAGCCTGATGTCTGGGGCCTTTTCCTACCTGGTTCCTACTCTGCCTCCCCACCTTGACTTAGTGTTGTTTCTTGTCTGAAAGTCAGATTATCTGCTTCCATCCAATACTCATGTTGTTTGTCTTAGCCAAAATGTTCCTTGCATGCTGTTTCCTGTTAGCATTGTGCCTTTCTAAAACTCCCCTATTTCAAATGGTACTGCTTTCTTCTTTCTACATCATCAGTGATTTAAGATTAAATAACTTAATTTGTGTATTATGTTTTCATTCTCAAAGAGTTATACTTTGAACCTATTATAATTCCACAACAATCAGCCCTGTTTCATATTTACTGAATTATTATCTTTGTACCTACTGGGTAATAAGCTTCTTGAGTTTAGGACTTTTCTTCTATACCAGTATACCAGTATCGTGAATTCTAACCTGGCCTTACGCAGCTTGCTGTGTGACTTTGATCCTTGTCTAGCTGTTTTGTCAGTTTCCATTCCTGACTTGCTTCACAGCACTAGTCTTATAGAGTATCTACTACATGTTTAAAGCATTTCACCATCACTTTTAAGGGCTCTATAAATACCAAACACAATACTCAGTAGCTTTCATGTGCATCTGTATTAGTCATTTCCTTTGGCTACTGAATGAATAATCCACTTAGTTTCTGCCTCAGTGCTCTTTGGTTGTAGGGTGAGTAACTTTGTGATCCTCATCAATGATAAGGTACTGCTGCTTTCTTCTGGTCTATATATCTAACAGAGACCACCTTTCTCTTGTTTCCAGAGAGGAGCTAGTAATGTGACCTGGCGATCTGATATCCTGGTGGAGTATCAAGGGGAAGGCCATAATGTCTCTGACCCAACGTGTCCTTCCGTGGGGCCTGGAGTCTCCGTGAGTAACACAGTGCAGTGCTAGTCTAGATGTGTCACGTATTGAGACCCTGAATCTGAGCTCCCCTCCTCCTCTCTGTCACGTGATTGTGGCTGGTGATAGTGGATATGTGCAGTTGAGTTGGAAGTGACCCATGGCTGACCCTCCAGCTGGTTTTCAGATGCTATAAATCACACTGGAGGACTATCTTTTTCCTGCAAAGCTGCTAGTAGATTCAAACCACTTAGCTTTGTGTTGGCAGCACAGCTCCTTACCCACTAGGCCATGAGAGCTCCCTTTATAGTGAATCTTATTGTTGTTATGTGCTGTCAGTGAGAACCAACACCTAGCTGACATTCCAGCAGGGTTTCAGAAGCTGTAAATCACACTGGAGGAGATTGTCTATCCTTCTCCCATGGAGCAGCTGGTGGATTAGAACTGTGTGCCTTTAAAATTGCACAGCTTTTTACCACTACACCACCAGAGCGCCCTTTATAGTGGATTAAAGTAAATCCAGTAATGCACAAAAACGATGCCAGAATCCTTCGAATTCTTCCATTTTGGTAAATAGTTGCAACTCTGCCCATATTCTTACCTTGTCAGTACCTGGGCCCTTACCCCATCCCAAAATCTGTACCATTTTTTATTGGGAATATTATTCAACTCAGCTTACTGCAATTTGGTCAGAACAGACTCAAAGCTGACCATTTAATGGGTTTCTTAGGTTGTAAATAGCACTGGAAGAGGTGTCCCATCTTTCTCAATGAAAGCTACAGGTAGATTTGAACTGCCAAAGAGACATGGCCTTCAGCTGTCAGCGTCACTCCCTACAGAGCAGAGCTGCCATATAATAGTGACAAGCTTTCCCAACTGACCGTGCCCTGGGGAGTGCCTTGAAGTGGTAGCAGTCTGGTTGCTCATGGAGGCAATTATAGCCTTGCTTTGTAGGACGGAATATAAGTTCCTGTTTGGAAATGACTCTCCTAAAATGAAAGTGAGCTCTGGTGGCCTAGTGAATAAGGACTTGTCCTGCCAACCTAAAAGCATGCAATTCGAATCCACCAGCCACTCTAGGGAGAAAAATGGGCAATTTCTTCCTGTTCCTAAAGACAGATGCTGTAGGAACCATGAAAAAATAAATTAGAATTCAGTCATCATGGATGGTAGGGATATGCAGCAGTAACTATAGATGATTTTATAAAGCTCATTTATAGTCTGTGATGTTGTCCGCTCTAGTCCTTCAGAACACAGTTCCTGCGAGTGCTTAGAAGTGACTCACCCAGCTATTAATTTCTCCTCTTTACCCACATGTACATTTTAAAGGGGCTCATTATTTGTCAAGTGGGTTGACAGGGGCTACAGCAATCTACACCCTTGTGTTCTGTAAGCAAGTGCACCAACAGGAAGAAACAAGGCCTCAAATCTGTTTTTGATCTACTGATTTCTCTGCAGAAGTTTTCCTAGTTTATCCAATTGCATGTCTCCTGTAAATCTGTTTGGTTGCCCCCTAAGCAAGTAGGAATTTGTTAGTATGGGAGAAGTTTATTCATGAACCTCTAAATCCCCACAGGAGTGTTTCCCAGACTGTGTATGTGAAGATGCTTACAACAACACATATGCTTGTGTAAGGACAATGTCAGCCCTGTGGAATTTACAGTATTGCGAGTTTGATGACCAGGAGGTAAGAGGGGTGTCTGCCTGCTAATTCCTCCACACCTTCTTTATTTTTTTTTCATTAGATTTGATGACAAAACAGAAATTCTTTTTGTAATTAAATGGCAAAAGATGCTCCCTGAAGGAAACTTGGTTTTTATCTGTACATTTTAGCTAAGATAAAGTTAGACAAAGCTCTTCCTCTCACATTACTATTTTATCCACTCCCCCACAACTGAGACAGATGCAGTTAAATACAGAGATCACTTTTTCAAAATGATAATGTCATCTTCCTTCATAAGGTGAACCAAAGATGACTGGTTATCTTCCTTCACAGAGTAAACCAAAGGTAATCCAGTAGAAGTGTCCTGTGGAGAATTCTCTAAACAGCTTACCAACAACTGACTTGTTCCGAGATTCTGTTCTCATGCTCAGGTAGATTAACAGCAGGAGTCAGAAGCAGACCCAGAAGCACTATTCTTGGAGGAAGGTGGCGTTTAGCCCGTGCAGATCAGTGTGGGTTGTCTGAAGGATCCAGTCTTCCCAAGTTCATACCATTCTTACTTGACTTGTCTGGCAGCCAGGTCTTACCATGTGGGAAAGGCTGTTGACTATCTCAGAAGTTGACTGTTCAGCCATCCCATCTAGAGTGTATAAGCACTTTGGACTTAATTCATAAGGAGAACTTCATAAGGCTGCGTTAAGGCCTTCTACTGAGAAGCCATCGTCAATATAGTTCCTGTTCTTCCTCTCCCTTATCAGTTTGATAACTACTTATAAGTGATACTCTGAGGGCATCTGTTTGAAGCCCCCATAACCAGATTCTGTCTCTTGTCTTCATAGTCTGCCATGTGACTCTGGTTTGGAGAAGAACATACAAGTTAAGAGGGGGAACATGCTTAACCCCTGACATGTCTAATCTTAGACCTCAGTAGCCCTGGTGGCACAATGGTGAACTTCTCAGCTGCTAACCAAAAGGTTAGCAGTTTGAACCCACCCAGCAGTTGTAAGAGGGAAAGAGCCCGTCATTCTGCTCCCATCCTAGAAATGGCTCTTGGAACTTTGCAGTATCATGTGGGGTTACTAGGAGTTGAAATGCTACAGCGCCTAATCACAACAGCGTTAAATGTGATAATCAGTACTGTGATCTCATTGCTCTTATACATCAAAAACTGTCTACGAAAACCTAACATTTGGATAGCACAGGTTTGAGTATTCATGTATCTTCTTTTTAGTTGAATTTCTATTCTTAGGCAGAGCTAGCCTTCAGATATTAATTCTCACTTCTGTGCCTATGTCACTAAGTCTTGTTTCTGAGACTGACATTTGGGATCCTGCCTTCTGTCCTCAGCTTCAGTTACGCAGGGTGGTCAGTGTCCTCCCCTGGGTCTCCTCCTGACCGCCTCAAGGCACAGACAGTGAGTGCTGGGGGTCCCTGCCTGGCATGTGGGCTATTGACCCAACGCAGTTTAACCCCTGAACAGATGCTCCATTGTCTCAAGTTGGCATTTCAGTGCTTTGAGGATCTGGTGACCAGATGATACCTCATAGATCTCATTTCTTAGCCTCCCTCCGCCTTTCCCATTTAGAAAGAATTCCCATGAGGCGTATTTCTCCAAGCGTGATCTTTTTTTCTTTTTATTTCCCCTCCATCCTTACTTATCCTCTAGGTGTTCGTGGAAGTCTATAATCTGACCGCAGACCCACATCAAATCACTAATATTGCTAAAACTATAGACCCAGAGCTCTTGGGCAAGATGAACTATCGGCTAATGATGTTACAGTCCTGCTCTGGACCAACCTGTCGCACTCCAGGGGTTTTTGACCCTGGGTAAGTTTCTTTTCCTTTTTCTTCAGTTACTTCACCACGCTGCCGTAAACTGGTGTGCTGTCCCTGGATGCAAAGAGAGCCCTCACTCAGATGGGTCATTTTTGCCTTGAGCTGAGATGTGATTCCTGTTTTGCTTTCAGTTGGCAACACTGTGTCTTAGTGCGTCAGTCTCTAGTCTAGGATTGGAACCTCTATGAAACTTACTCTCCACTGCACGTCAGCTTTATCTGGAGGCAGAGCTTTGTCTCCTGTCCCAGGGTCTCTTCCTTTTCACTGTTGTCTTTTTGTCATGGTTTTATTACCGTTAAGTATCATGGTGACACTTGCGGCTTCTTAAAAATAAGCTCTGGCCCAGTGCTACCTTGTTGCCTAGAGTTCCCAAGATCTCCATTCTAATTTTATAGACATCTCAGTTCTAGAAACTTAAATGCTCCCAGTTAAATTTTCATTTAATATGTAATGTTGTTGTTGTTGTTGTTAAGTGCCGTTGAGTCGCAGGTAACTCATAGCGACCCTATGAAGAAGAGACCTCGACGCTTGGGTGCCTTTCAGCCTCTCTCCAGGTTCATAGGGTTTCTGAAGGCAAGCTATTATGGAAGTGGATGCCATTCCTCCTTCCAAGTTAATATGTAATAGGCACAAAAAAATAAAATAAATGTAATAGGCACAAGAAAGAAGTCATCATAAGTACTTAAATGTTGAAATGCATAAGCCTAGTGCAGTATATTGTTGTTGTTGATTACCTTCTAATCAAGCACGACTCATAGAGACCCTATGAACAAAAGGCCTGAAGCCTTTCTATAACTATCAACATTTATCAAAGTTCAGAGTTTCCAGAGGCATCTTGTTGAGGAAGTGGATGTCACTCCTGCTTCCAGTAGTGCAGTATATGGGGGTATAAAAATGTGGAACTATCTTCTACAAAATAAATTCTTTTCCTCTCCTTAAACAGTAGCTTTTCTTCTTTTTTTTCTCTTTTAATAAATTTTTATTTTGTGATTTTAATGAAAGTTTACAGAAAAGCTAGATTTTCATTCATTCATTGTTGCACATTTTACCTCTTCTCCTTCCCTTCGCCCTCCCCAGTTCTTTTCAGCAATGATGAGTGTGTTCTTTGAGTTCTGAATGGTAAGGAGTGAACTATATTTAACTAAAGATTATGAAATGAAAAAAAATCAGACTTTCTCTGGACAGGATTATTTCCATTCTCAACATTCATTTGGTTACTGGAGAAAGTATGATGCCACTAGTTAATGAAAAATTAACTGTGTTAGCCATCTTTAGTTTAAATGATACCTTCAGTACAAAAGAAAAAGGGAGGAAGGAGGAGATGTATGTATATAAGTACAGAATTTTGGATTATAGACATTTATTTTAAAATGTATCAATCTTACACTTAAATCTTACATAGAGAGCCAGAATGACACAGGTAACAGAAACAAACAGTATTTATATGTTTGTCATTCTTTTCTATCCTTTAAGTAATTCTTTTTTGTTTTTTCCTTTGGTAGCTCCAATTTATTAGCAGCTGTTGAGGGAAAAGATGGCATTTCCCTTCCATTAAGATCTCTACAGCATAAGAAGCCAGATAGAGATTTATTTTTTTAAAATTTTTATTTTTTTATTTCATTGAACATCTACAGAGATTTTGGAATTCCATTCATTCATTGTTGCACTTTTTTCCTCACCCCACCCCCCTTTAAGTAATTCTTTTGTGTGTGTGTTTGTGTACCGTCAAATTGAATCTGACTGGTACAGGAGGAGATTGTCCCTCCTTACCCGGCAGAACATCTGGTGGATTCGAACCGTGCGCCTCTAAGATTGCAGTGCAAAGTAATTCTTTTAAAAATAGGGATCAAGTTAATACACTAAGATTGTCCAAGCTTTCTGACCATACAACATATAAAGTCTTTCTTCCATGCTAATGAAATGGGTCCCTTGCTTATTGCCAGTTCCAGGAATTAGGTTCAGTCTCTTAAGATAAAAGCAGACACAAGGCTTCCAGCTCACACATCCTGAACTTGCAATTTCCAACATCTGTTGTTCTCAGAATATTTTATGAAACTAAATACCATGAGATGCTTATAGTAGTCAGTGCTTTTAAAGCATATAGTACTTGATTGACTTCGAATTTAAGGCCAGAATCTAACAGGATCTTGGCTGGCAGCTCAGAGATTGAACCATTCTTAATGTCCAGGAAGTTCCTAGCCACTCCCTTGCTAAGGCGTGGACCTGTCTTGGCTGGAGTCCAGTGGATCTGCACAAGGCAAATAGAGAAGCTGCCATATTTTTTTCTGAACATCAACATCTGTTCCTCAGGGGTGGAAGGACTCAATCTTAGAATTTTTTTTATAGTTAAATAGTTAAATTTGAAATGAGAAAATTGAGCTTGGAGTTGGGTTTTGCCCAGGAGTCACTCTGTCAAGAACAGCAAGGCCTCCTGATTGTCCAGCAAAGTTCACTGGTTTTTGTTTTTAAACTATAACTGTTGCTTACCTCCTAGAAGCTTGTAGTTAAGGTTCTAGATAACTGGCTTTGCTGCTGAACTGAACTTATTTAAACTCCTATTTTTCCATTTTAAATTCCTGGCTTATTTCCTTCCAAACATTTGGCATATAGAATTCTATGAAATGAAAATTATAGAAAACTGTATCACATGGGCCGAGCCCATTTGCCCCATTTTTTAAAAATAGTTTCATTGAAACACACATTCATTCATAGTATTTACATAATGACTTGGCCTTGTGTGTCATTTACATGAGTTACATTTACTTGAATTACTTTGCTATTTGTAGTCAAAGGGGTTAATGATTTGTCCAGGTTCATAAACAAATTCAAGCTCACATCTGTAATTCATGCCTGTACTTATAAATGCAACAGTATGTGTATCTCATTGTAAAAGAGAAAGGACATTCAAATTCCTCGTACAGCATTCATCAGGGGTTAGACTCTTCTGCTTACTGAAGGCAGTTCTGGCTGCTTAGTCCATGGGGAGTTGTGCTGCTGACCACAGGTGGCGAGTCTCTGGCAGCTGGAGATCACCAGCAGCTCCAAGGAAGAAAGTTGGACACTCTCCTTTGTGATTCACAGCTTCAGAAACCCAGTAGGGGATCTGCTGAGTCCATTCCACCTAGACAGTGAGTTTAGTCACCTTTTTATACAGTTAGTTTCTCCACATCTAAAATACACCACACCCCCACAAAAACTCACCTCAAAACTTTCGAAGATTAGTATTACTATTTTTTTTTTCATTTCCTTTCAACTTACACTGCATTATTTGTGCTTGCTGATTTGTATTATAAATGTTTTTCGTCATGGTTTATACTACAAACTTACCCAACAGAATCTCTTCTGGTCACTTAATTAGTCCTTTCAACTGTCTTTTCTACAAATAAAATTTCAGGTAGAATAAGATACTCAGTAGCTATAGATAGTAGATACAGAGTTAATGTTACATGGTGTTTGGTTTTGTTTTCCTGTCTTGCCCCTCCAGGTACAGATTTGAGCCCCGGCTCATGTTCAGCAGTCATGGCATCGTCAGGACAAGAAGGTTTTCTAAACATCTCCTGTAGCCACCTTGCCCAGCTTCTGCAGTTGGAGCCCTGCACGCCTCTTTCTGATGAAGTGATTGTAGTAGGTGTCTGTAGCTAGTCAGTCTTCAAGACCACACCTGGAAGTTTAAGTCCTATCTGAAAAACCAGCCCAGTCAGCTGACTTCTGTGCAATGTGTTAAACTGTGAACTCTTCCTATATGTCAGGAGTGACTGTCCTTGGTCCCTCTGTTCATCTGATAATGAATACGCCCATGAGGTCTTCGTACTCACCATATCTTTCCTGTCCTGGGGCCACTGTTTTTGATACTACCCTGTGGGTCAAAGTCTGAATGTGCAAATGTACTCAGATAAATGGCAATACTGCTTGACCCAAAAGCAGGGAACTTGCAGAGCATTTCAGATTGAGCGCTTGACTGTCAAACATATTAATATGACTTGAAAAATAACCATCAGAGATGATTGAAGACAAGTACCATTGTTTTAAATTAGAAGATTATGTTGGATTATTTCCTTCCTGTCCATCACAGTGTGATAAGGCTACAGATTCAAAACAAGCCAGCCAAGCTCTGTTCATTTATTTGGAATTCTGGGCTAGTGCGATACTGAAATCAAAAGAGTAAGCTTTTTGGTAAAGGTTCAGTTCAGCTCTTGAAGGTGGTAATCACCTATATTCCAGTGGCTGCTAACCACTTATAGAATGCCAGTTAATACCAAGAATATTGGAGGTGTCTCCCATGAAACTCTCTCTTTGAGGTCTGACCAGAGACCACTTACATGCATCAGTGTAGGGAAGGGGGAGGGAGAGTAGTTGTTCCGGGGCCTTCTGTGGACAGCACTCTCAGGTCTTCAGGGTAAAGGACTGCACCTGGGCTTGACGAAGTGCCAGTCCAGCAGGGCACATTACAGCTGATGTCAATCTCATGTGTAAAGTTGTTTAGAATCTTTTGCATTTTGCTGTCATTCTGTCCATTTGTTATAAGAGAAAAAAAATTTTTAACACTCAGTGCAAAATACTGACTACTGTTGAGCTTGAGGAGCCCTGTCTTCTCCCCTATAAGTTCATCCTGAGTTTTTGGAATCATCAGCCCCTTTTCCATGTTGCTCTGTTCAAATCTGTATTGTTTCAGTTTCCTCACGGTTTAGGACACCTAAAAATACTTCTATTTCTTGCTTCAAAGACCAGCCCATTTCCTTTACCAGGGTGTTAACTGGTGAAGGAGCAGCGAATGAGAAAGAGCTGTGGTTTATAACCTTTTGACTCAGGCAATAAGTGTTTTTTTAGCTTTACTTGAGGTCTTATATCAAGCTTTAAGCACTTTGTTTTGTTAAGACACGGCCACAAGTTAACTATGCTACAAGAATTTCCAATAGCCATTGGCTTTGTTCCTTTACCTCATGTGAGCCCTACAACTGGGGGGGGGGTAATCTAAAGATGAAGTAATAAGCAAGCAAAATGTAACACCTTCTCTTTGAATGCTTAAGGAAAGAAATTATAATTCTATAGCTAAAAGCATACAACAGTGTTGACTATGAATATTGGTTTTATTCTCTACTTTGATTCTTAACATCTTAAGTCAACATCAACATTAATGAAGGTTAACCATAGTTATTCCAAAATAAAAAAAAAAGAAACCAACCCTTGCTAGATCTTGGACTGTGACATCACATTATTTATTCAGCTTTATAACACTGGGTCCTGAAAGGAGGAAAGCAGGTGAAGTCTTAGAAATTAAACAAGTCAGTGGCTGCTTGCCACTCTGCCCGTTTGTTCAGCTGACTTCCATGTGGGTGGTAGGATGTAGTGAGGCATTCTGTGGACGCTTCTGATTTTGGTACATTTCTTACCTAACCTTCGAATAGGCTACTATTTGGCTTTGTATCTTGAACTGATGACATTCTGGACCTATACTAAAATAATTTCATAAAGAGACCTCAGTTTATAGTCTAATGGACTAAGATGCACTCAACTTTTAGAATGTATGTGTACAACTGACTCACTACAAGAGGCTTTCTTTGCTCCAATTTTAATTTTACTGACTTAAAGTTTATTATTTTCCTTTTTCTAAGAAGGCCAGGTCCCTGTCTCCTTATGACTTTCAAAATAGAGAGCCATTTAACCAGAAAGAATGAACTAAGGCCTTAGGAACGACTAGAGATTTTGCCTTATAATGGTTCTTATTACACAGCTCTCCCTAAAATACAATTAGAGAGAGACCAACCTTTTGAGCATCTTTGAATTTGACAACTGGTGCTGTTGCAAATGCATTTTAATTGACAACTAATATAGGAGGTTTTAATACAAAATGGTAATGATAGCCCTGGGTATACATTAACCTGTGATAAATATTCTTAAATATATCTTTAAGTATCTAAGTTAACGAGTAGGGCTGTTTTAATAAAAAAAGAAAGTCCCAAATCCTTATTCAGAGAAAGCAAAAGATAGCTGGTCTATCAGTGGAAGAAGATGGAAATATTTGGGTTCTTTGAGTTTACCACCACTCAGGCCCCACTGAGTTTTGTAAATCCTTTGTTTGCATTATCTGTTCCTAAAACATTATTCTGCCCTGGCTCTCTGTCATCTCAATCATTTGACCTAGAAAGTGCCCTTCAAAGGACCCTGTTCACTGCTGCACTTTTCAATGAATTAAAATTTATTTCTGTGTCTAGTGGGAATGTGTCCTTTGTTTTAGTCCTCAAATAGTAATTTTTATAAGATGCTCTTTTTGTATATCCTGTTTAATATTTTAAGTATTGAGGATGGGAACATTTCCCCATTTGGGTCTATAATCTGTACTGTGAACACACTTAGTCTTTGCAAACAGAAAACTCCTCAATGAGCACCATATAGAAAATCCTTCCTGATAGGTTTTTATTCACATCTTTCTCTGGAGATGTAATCTTATCTTTGCTGGCTTTCAAATGAGCTAGGCTCACCTTCCAAGATGAACTTGGTGTTTGATGTCCAGTAATGTGCTGCATTGCCCTAACGAGGGACTTTGCATGTGGGTCCTCAGACTTTCCTAAAAGATCAGATGGTAAATATTTCGGGCTCACAGGCCATATGGTCTCTGTCACAGCTACTCATCTCGGCTGTTGTAGCAGAAGTATCCATAAACAGTACATAAATAGCTGTAGCCTGTGGTCTATAGAACTTTATATATAAATGCAGGCAGTCTATAATTTTCAGGTTGTCTCTTTTCTATCCTTTCTGAAAACAAAGTAAAAAAACAAGATACTGGAAGATACCCAGGAAAATTGCCAGCTAATCCTGTCAGAAAAACAGGTAATTTGGGTCTTAAAAGCACATAAATTGGCTAGTTTCTGCTTCATAGATAGAAAAGGCATGAGACTGCTAGGTCAGAGACAGAGAACTTTATTACGGCAGAGCACACAACATAAACGTGTCACTTCACCCTTATCTCAGTCCCACATGGGCAACACCACAGGCCTAAACGGATGCCTGCAGATGCGGAGGTTTCATTGTAGAAGAGGAAGGAACACTGGGGTTTGAGAACTGGCCATAGTATAGCAGCACTAAGCAAGCCTGCTCTTTGTCCTAGAGAAATAGATTGCTTTATTCTTGAAGGCTGTTCACTGTGAGCACAGCCCTGAGAAATCACCTGAGTGCTTTGCAGGTTTGGCATACACACAAGAATAACATGCAGGGACACTTAGGACCCATAGTGAATTGCCTTCCCATAATATTAGATGA